ACTAAGACTATGCTATCAAATTGTGATATTTCTGATGGCTGCTGGCACAACACTTCCAACTTGGAACAATTTTTAAGTAAAGATCTCAAGTTGTCCCTTTTTGACAGAGAAGCCACAAGAATCACAGTTTCAAGCTCAGGGCAAAGTTTTCCCCTTGCCTCTCAGGGCCAGAAGAGAGGCAGGCACTTTATCTTCCTGTCTTCTTTGAAGCACATTTGCTCTCATTATTTCTGGCACTAAGGGTGGACTCCTTTCATCTCTGCTTTATACAGAGATGTGAAATTGCACTGCCCACGTTAAGTGTTTGTCTTCTGTCTCTGGCGTCCATACGTTCAGGGTTCAGGGAAGACCATCAGCTTCAGTACATATTCTTCAAGAGTTCTTGCATTCACTCAATGTTTGATCTTTACAAACTCTATACACTCCTTATAAACTCATTAATGTGGTTAGAAAGATTAAAAGTAAATCTAGTCCCCGTTTTGGGGTTATTTTTAGAGGTAGCGGGCACCCTTCTGCCTAAACGAAGTTTACATGTGTCTCTCCATCCTCCTCTTCACTTTCCCATCCTAGTCAGACACCACCCTCCCCCACAGCAAGCACTTCCTCATTCCTCTGTGTGCCCTGCATGCCACAGTTTATTCTCCCACTAGCAGCCAGAATGGTCACTTTAAAATATTCGTCCAAGCATTCCCCTTCCTTCTGTAAAACCTCCCAACAAGGAGAAAGAAAGATTTGTGCTTGTGTGTGGCCAGGGTGGGGTGGAGCTTATGGACCTGGAGGCAGAAGGAATAAGTGGGGTCCTGTTTGGGCGATGAGTATGCTCGGAAACTGACGGTGGTGACGAATGCACAGCGCTATGAATGTACAGAGTCACTGGACTCCACACGGTAGTCAGCGACACGGTAATCAAGTGAATTCTGTGACATGAAACTGGTATTTAAAGAACAGCCTTTTTGTCAGGGAGCAACACTTCCAGGCTTGTGAGCTCAGCACCACGGACAGTCTGCTCTTCCAAAACCACCCACACAAGGTGCCACATGCTCTTGTGTAACTCTGGTAATCAACATCAGGCTTGCGACAGTAAGGAGCATTTATTCAAGAGTGAGGCTGGACCTCAGGAAAATCGAGTTTGGTAGGGTTTTAACTTCTGTCACTCCGTCTTGGTCCCACTGAGTCTCAGTGGCTTACAGGCAGCAGTCTTTCATAATAGCTGCTATGAAAACAGCTAAGGGAACCATGCGAGAGGGCAAAGGGTTTTTTGAAGCTCCCCTGAAAAACCATCCCCAGAAAGTCTCCTCTGCGCTTTGTCCTTATTGGACCAAACTCAAAGCTTTCTCAGGGCCACATCCCCAGAGAATTTGGAAAACACAAACAGTAGCAATTTAGCATCACAGCTGCTGGACATCGATACCTGCCCAGGCAAAGAAGCCGCTAGTCAGAGACTTGGAGGGCAAATAAGAACAGGAAATCCCATGCCGCTGGATCAGGAGCCAGGCATAATAAGAAGAAAGTAAAACTCTCCAAATTCCAGAAATGCAACAGTCTCTATCAAAATCTCTACTGCTCACCCCAACTTATTTTTTGCAGAAATTGCAAAAATCCTTATTGTAAGATTTACGTGGAAAAGCACGGGGGCTACAGAATAGGGAAAACAATCTCGAAGGGGAACACATAGGAAAACTCATTTAGTGAGTTCAATACCGACCGCTAAGCTACAGTTATTAAAATGGTGTGGTACTGACACAAGAATATGTGTATATGATATGTGTATAGATCAATAGAGTAGAACTGAAAGTCCAGAAATACATACATACATATATATATATATATATATATATATATATATTCTGTGTATTTCAAAAAGGGGGCCAAGATAATTCAATGGAGGAAAAACCGTCCCAGGACAGCAACTGTCCATGGACAACTGAATATCAACATGCAAACAAATGACGTAGCAGCCCTACCTCACGGCGTACACCAAAAAGAAGCTAAAGTATAGACCTAAATGTAAGCAATAAACTATGAACTCCCAAGAGAACACAGACTGTTCTAAGTGGTGTGACTTTGAGCTCATGAAAGAATTCTTAGTCATAACACAAAAAGCAAACACCAAAAGTAAAAACAGTTCAGTTAACAATTTAATAATTTGCACCTCAAAGGACACTCACAAGAAAATAAAGACAGCCCATAGAACAAAGAAAATATTTGCAAATCTTAGATCAGATAAGGGACTTGTATACAGAAAACAGAAAGAACCCACACAACTCCACAGTAAACAACTCAGCCTTTGAGGTGGGGCTGTGGAGCCCTCTTGAAGGCGGTCAGCCTCCCGGAAGGCCATGGGTTATTGGGTTTCATCTGCAGCTCGTGTGCAGAACACACAGGGACAGGCGAGGATGGTGGCTGGTGGAGGCAGAAGTGGGGAATGGCTTGCTCCGGGTACAGGATTTCTTACTGGGGTGGTGAGAGGCCCACCTTGCTGCCCAGAAATCTCACACACCTTCAGGGGTCTTGCGAACTCTGCCCTCTCCCGCATACTCTCGTTGTGGAGGCAGGGCTGAGTCCTGTCTTGCATATCTCAGGTTAAACACCACCCCTTGGAAGCTCCCCTTGACCGCAATCCAAAGTTGCCACCTGAACACTGGGGTAATCTGCTAATTCCTTTTATATCATTTATTCATTTAATTCACGCATTCAAAAATAACAATGCTTCTTACAAGCCAAGCACTTCTGAGATTACAGGAATGACCAAGGGACAAAATTCCAGCACTCGAGTAATGATATACATTGGTGATGAGGGGACAAATAAATACATGATGTTAGGCAGAGATGTATAAAGCTAAGAAAGAATAACAGGGCTGGTGTGGTGGTGCATGCCTATAATCCCAACACTTGGAGGCTGAGGCAGGAGGATCACTGTGAGTTCGAGGTCAGCCTGGGCTACAAAGTGAGCTCAAGGCCAGCCTGAACTGCATAGGGAGGAGACCCTGTCTCAAAGCCCCTACCCTGCCAAAAGAAATAGGGAATGAGGAGCTATCAGGATGAGGGAAGGAGATGCTGCAATCGGTGATCAAAACTATAATGAATGTTTAAGGTTTTACAAATGTTATTACAGCAAAACACACCGCCATGAATTCCCCTCAGAATCTTTCCCCTGCATTCAGCACTTCTATGCCACTGCTCTGGCCACTTTCTGAGCAGTTCTGCGTGCTTTCCTGCGTGTCTTTACCAGGTGTGACAAAAGTACAGTGAGCACTGCAGCCGAGCGCCCCCCAACAGAAAAGCAGGCTCGTGAGAACATGACGCCCTGACCTCGTCCGCTGGAGCTGGCCAGCTGGACTCTGGCTCTTCCCCAAAGTCCAAATGACCATGAAAAGGGAACATTTTGCATTAGTTCGGGACATCAGGGCAGCCTCAACTGGACAACTAAAGACAGCAGGAAAGAGGGCTCCAGAACTGCTTCAAAAACTGGCAGAACAACAGGGTAAGGGGTCTGAAGCAAGGGGGAGGGCTTGAGGGAATTTGTGGCAACATCTTTTACTGTAACACATTCTGAAAAAGGTTAAATACACACCGCATTTTCCCATCACCCTATTTTCTGTAAGACTACTGGCCGGCTCCTGAGCTGGTCATAAAGCAGACAGCTAGACAGTAGGGACTGGCTGCCCACAGGCTCGGGGACATCAGGAGAGGGGCTCAAGGCTTGGGACACAGCTGTGGTGGAGAAAAGACATAAGCAGGGAGCTTGTCCTTTTCCCTGGGGAAAGCCACACTGCGCTTGAGGTGGCAGTGGAGCACCCAGGGGTGCCTGGTGGACAGGTGAGATGAAGGGGTGACCCTGGCAGACAGGGCTGGATGGAATCAGGAGTCAGTCACAGACATGAAAGGCAAACTGATAAGGAGAGATGTTCATAAACACTGAGGGTGGCGCGCCAGGGAGCCCTCAGGGATTCAACCAGGTACCCCAAGAACACAGTATGACACCCGCGCTGGTCACTGCCAGGGTCTCTACTCCTCTCTTCCTCCCAGTGTCCTGCATGTGACCAGGTCCCATTGACGGCCACAATCCCAGCACCTAAGAGGTCCAGAGACATACTAGGCGCCTTAGGAAGCAATGCTGGCTTTCTCTTCCAGCATTCCCACACTAGAAAACATCCAGCAACCTCTGGCAGCAACAGTTCAAGACACACACTCACTCAGGAGCTCGGACTTCAGCCCGGTACCCTCCGATTAGCCTGTACTTTCCCATGGTCCACTGAGCACCTATAACTTATTTCTGCTGCCTTCACAAGTTCTGATTATTAAATGCAAACAAAGGGCTCCACGGAAGACAGAGCAGTCCAGGGGAGGCAGCCCAAGCCCGAGACCATGAAGCACACAGGCTGCACACTGCTGACAACCCTTAGCCCTTGGCAACCGCGGTCCTGTGAGTGGTGACACCGGCCAGGCTGTGTCCACACTGTGGGGCAAGGCAGCACCACGCTCTGCTGTGCGGCTCTGCTCCACACGCTTCTCACCTGTGTTTTCCTCTCCACTGAAAAGAACAGAACAGCTCCCATTGAGAGTAGAAATGCGGACGTGAAAACAGAGAAGTGCTCCTTGTCTTATTTGGTAAATATTTTGCTCTGGAGGCATCAGTAACTAATCACAGCTGTTTTCCTTAGTTACAAATGGATTCAATCAGGTACAATTTCAGATGGAATAGGCGAGCCAGCCGTTCCTTTCTGCAGCACAATGGTGGCGTCGAGCTGGTACCACGCTTGAGTATTAAGTATGCATGGATTCATCAAATCAGACAAAGCCGCTAATGGGCCTCTGCTCAGCGCTCTGACTGTATTACGGGGACGCCTCGCACCCTGCCTCATCGGAAACACGCAGACAAAATGCTCCTAAGCACCCCCCATACAAGCTGCAGTGACGAGCTGTCGTTCCAGCTGCACACTGACTTGTGGCTAGAACCCTTCCCTTAGAAATCACAGGCCAGAAAGAGGCTACTGAGATTTTGTTTAAAAATATTTTAATGTCAAAACTAAAACAAATGAAGCAAAATCCTTGTTTTCCCCATCTAGGATTCATAAAACATCTTTCCAAAGGGATTGCTATATGCACATCAATAAACAATGATAGTTCAATGGAGAATCAGATACTCAGAAAATAGTAAATGCATTTGATTCAGTGTTTGAAAAATACAGATTTTTGTGGCAACTTATAAATAAATTTCTATTGTAATAATAAACTGTCATTTTGAATCAGAAAAATAACATAAGCAAAAATTCAAAGCAGTATGTTCTAAGGACATTTCGCCTGAACGCTTTTAAATTTGGCTTTTAAACAGCTGACCGCCACACTCAGGAGTGTAACCAGTTAGTGATGACTAGGTCTGGTCTGTCCCAAGAGGTCCTCTTAGCAAATCCACTTTCATCATCGTACACTTTTCTCCACACAACAGAAGTACTCGTCTGGACCGAGAACAGCAAAGTGGTCTGGACCCCGTGCAGCCCAGTGGACAGAAAGCACAGGCCCACTCCAGGGGAGCCCAGCAGGGACTGCAGGGCACTTAGCAGCAGTGGCGGTCCTCACTAAAAATGAACGACCTTGGGCGTCTTCGCTTTGGGCTTCTGCACCTTGGGTGCATCCATGACCTCCTCGTAGTCCGCGCTCATTCCCTTCGCCCAGCGGCCCACGGTGACCGCCCTGTCTGTAAAGGAACAGAGAGGCCTGGGTGTGAGAAGAAAGGGAGCAGCAGGGGCTGGGACGTGAATACAAGGAGGGGGAAGAGTCAGTGGCTCCGAAACTGATTATAACCCTTGATTTCAGAGCACCAGGAGCGATTTCTCATCCCAATTAAGGAAGTGGCTGCTTAGCCACGCGCAAACTGATGAGGAAGCGCTTCGCTCCCTCCCAGGGTTCATCACGGCAGAGTCCATGAATTCCAAGAGCCAGTAAACAGTGAGACTTAGGAAGGCTCTGCTTTAAATGCACAAGATTCCACCTGTGAAATTACACATCTGCTTGTCAGTCTTGTCATTTGGGAAGGGGTAATTCTCCAGGGGGGAGAATCAAATTCCACCTCATCACTTCAGTCTCGCTGCTACAGCTACAGTGCAGTAAAGACTATCATTTCCCAGACAAGGCTGTAAACAAGAACCTTTGGGTTTCAGATTTACACAGGAGGGACAGGAAGTACCAATACAGATATCTACAGTGTAGCACTGTGACTATATGAAATGAGACAAAATGTGCTTTTTCCCAAAGAAGTGCTACCGGGCTGCCCTACTGTCCTGCTTTTTTTAAAATGCAACATTATCACCCCATTCTAGTCCAGGCAAACTGAATAATGATCTGCTTCTTCAAGTCTGCCGTAGGCCTAAAGAACACTGATGAAGATTCTGATGAACAAGGCTAGTGTTTCATTAGGAGAAAATGGCTAGCCAGGTGCTATGTGGAGGACACATGTTTCATGTCTTTGGCAGTTTTTGCTACCGATTCTGAACTATTTAAGTACACACAAAACAAAGCATAGAGAAAGACACTCCTCCTATGAATGCTGAAATTGCATTATGCTGTGATTTTTCTCTTGGTGAACTAATACTTTTCTGTAGACAGCAGAACAGGCTCTATTATAATTAAGTTCACTGGTTAGCAAACGTAAGAACTTAGGAGAAAGATGCTTAATAGAAAGGGTCCTCTAAGGCTTGCTGGCTTCTTTTCTTCTGAGACTAGGAGGATTGCTAACTGTGGTGTCAACCTGAATAGGAGACACCCAGCGGATGGGTATAGCTCGATTTACTGAAGACGAAATCCCATCCTGGGGGAAATGAAAAGGAAAAGGAGGAGGCAGGCTTGCTTCTGCTCCTGCCCAGCTCCAGTCTGCACTGTCAGCTCTGTATGTCACCTCACGGCCTCCTGCGCACTCTGCAGCCTGGTGATACAGCCTCTCCTGCCTCCCACGGTGGTGGGGACTGCAGAAGCTCCAGGCCGTCAGTCCTCCCCAGGGTCCTCTGCTGCTTCCCACAGCCGGCCCTCCTGTACCCGTGCACCCCAATCCTGCAGGCAGCTGTGGCGAGCCTGCCTTGGAAACCCTTCCTGTATCCTGCATGGTGTTGAACCCTGCCTGACATGGGAAGCTAAGGCTCATGATGCAGGACCGTGCCTGCCCTGGACAGGCAAGGACAGGGAAGAGCGCAGGCACCATTGTGGGAAGGCAGCTCGGTGTCCAAGCTCAGCAGTGGTCCTGCGAGGCACCAATAACCAAATGCAGCTGCGCCCTCCTCCCTGCAGGACTCACCTGCATGCTGACCCTCGGGGCAGTCTCTCTTCAGGTGCTCCACAGAGCCGCACAACTTGCAGCCACCACCTAGGAAAGAGCAATGCCATTGAGCGCCACCCCAGGACAGGCCGCCCTTGTCTCACAGCGCTTCCCCTGCGCCGCCCTCACACCCTGCAGGCCATGAAGGCAGCGAGGCGAGGGACCGAGTGGGGCCACCAGCGCAGTCAACCACCTGCTCTCTATGCAAAGAGCACTGTGCAGCTCCTACCAAGGGCTTCCTGGGGAGAAGCATGGGGTGGAGCCCTAGTCCATCTGGTTGTATCACGGCCTGAGGTTCCTATCCAGGCCCACACACTCCCCCGAGGAAGGACAGCTGGGGTCTCCATGGCATGGTTCAGAGGACGGCAAGGAGCCTCTCTGCACCACACCAGTCAGATGGGGCAGGCACTGATGGAAGGGATACAAGCAACTCGGCCCTGTGCCTCCCCGTGCTGGGCAGCTCAGCCCCCAAACACGCATCTGTCTGCTCCCAGCAGCATTCTGAGGCTAGGATTACAGATGTGTGGTTCCTAAACTGAGTCCTCCACGCTGTGGAGGACTGCTATAGGGTCAGGCGCTGTCATAACCACACCCACAATGTTGAGTGACTCTGTCAGAAAGGGGCCCTCTCCAAGACTCCCCTTTCTAAAACTTTCTGAAACTGATCACTTTGGTTGACCAGTCAAAGACATTCTTGCTCCTTAGTCCATTTTCCAGGCCCAGGCCACTCTACAGTTTCACAGGGACTGATACCAGAAGAGGCACTGAATAACAGAGTGAATGCCACAGTTCATCAAACGTGAGACATCACTGATGCTAAGGGGCGTCACCCTTATGTACCTCTCCGAAAAACAAGAGGCTGGTAACCATGCAGGGGCCACTGATACATTCCAATTTCAGATATGAAAATGGGAAAAAAATACGCATCACAGAACAAATGGAATAGTTTTATCATGTTTGTTTGACAGGTGAGCAGACGGAGAGTTCAGTGACTTGACTGAAATCCCTAGCTACTGTGCAGTGGGACAAGGCCACCATCTATCTCTTTGTGGCTCCAAAGCTGTGCTCTTTCACTGGATTCCCCATGGGAGAACTTGGGACCCGGGACAATCAGCGCCTGGAACCCAGTGGCACTGGCTATTACATTAACAGGCAGCCACCAATTCCTAAAGCAGCAGACATCACAGACTCTCCTGAGGGGACCTCAGGGCATCAGCTGGCTGCAGGATCCCACGCCAGATAATGGGAAGGAATTCAGAAACAAAAACTATTGCAAAACTGAACAGTGTGCACCGTTTCTTCTACCTAAGCGGCGTGTAGGGCTGGAATCAAATGTCTAGCAGTCTTGCAGTCATTTAAGAGAACCCCTCTGCTCTGGTCATGTTTGCGTATAAACATATAACACACTTTCACAAAGGAAGCAAGCACTGTTGGAAACACACAGTCGAGTGTTCTGGTTTATTAGTGTATCAAGCCATACTGTATAAGCAGCCCGGGACACAACAGAGCACTTTCAAAAATGATGAAATTCTCAGTGTTTCATTACGTTCTCAAGAGTTTATACCAGAACTGACTGGGACCGGGCACCGTGCCTCGGGCCTGTAAGTCCAGCACTGAGGAGGGGTACAGCCATGCCCGGACAACTGAGCAGGACTCCAGAAAAACTCAGAAGGATTAAGGATGTAGCTCAGTGTTGGTTCCATCTCCACTACCACAGGAAAAAGTCAATAAAGTCACCCCTTCATAGGGGTGACTCCACCTCGCCGTGTCCCTGGAATACCGGGATAACAGTACTCACCGTCAGCATAAAGCCCTTTGGGATTCTCAGGACAAGATCGGGACAGATGCCCCATCTCCCCACAAACAAAGCATTTTGCAAAAGGAAATTCACCTGTAAGAATCAACAATTCCTATGAAAGTGATGATACAAAAGTCACATAATTCACATTGCTTTAAAATATTCTGAAGAGGAAATTTTTATTTCTTCTTACATAACTTGAAATTTAACTACAAGATTTAGAAATATTAATGGGCATGCTCATAACCAATTCTGCCTCCCCATATCTAACTGGCTATTAAGTGGCCACTTTCCCAATGAGCCAAACAGGAAGCCGGAGAACTTACCCAGAGCCGGGTCCACCTTAGCCTTACACTTGGTTATTTCATGCTCTGTGGACCCACACCGGTAACAAATCCCGGTGCCCATCTCTTGGTTTTCAAGGGCAGCTGGGCAATCAGCAACTCCATGGCCAGGTTTTCGACAATGAAAACACACCTGGGAAAACAAAATGTGAGTTTCCACAATGTGAGTTCCCACGCTGGAAATATATCAGTGACTCAACCAATTCCTATCACTCAGATAGCTTTCAAACACTGCTTAACTTGAAAGCTATTTAGTTCTTGAAAAGAGAAAACTTGGCATTCTACCTATTGAAAAGTGTTTTATACATTCCTAAGCAATCAGAGATGTCCTTTCCATCTGAGGGTCTCAATGTTTCTAAAATTTTTCAATTCGAAATCCACCAATATCACAAACCTGTTACATATAAGTTTACAGTGGGCATTAAGAGATGTCTGTCTCTCAGAGAGGGCACCTGATTTCAGAGAAGGACAAAGGCTATACAAATTACCACTCAAGCTAATATTTCCACCTCTACAGTTCATGAAACCGAATTGGGATCAAATTGTTTCATTTAAACTATGATTCAAATTATAACACGTTTTACTGCATATTTTTTGGTTTTGCACTCTGATACACACTAACTTGTACAAATAGGCATGTCATCTTGAGACAGAGACAATAAATTTTAATTTACTCTAAGATAGAAGTTTGGCTCCAACATAAAACTGAACAATATACAGAGATTTCCATACTATTTAGCAATTTGGAGGCTGTGATTCTGCTGGGTGAATGAGAACATCAACTATAATCAAAGACAGCAGACACTGAAAAGATTTTACTTCAAGTGGAGAAATATTCTGGGAAAACAATCATTTAATTATTTTCCTCAAATAAGGTCTTTTTTGTTAAAAAAAAAAAAAAAGTAAATTCAACAGGCAAAAATAAACCCACATTTTACACTGTGCCTTTTCTTTCTTTTTTCCTGTTTACAAACACTGAAAAATAAGTACATTTAAATTCTACAATAACTTTTAAACATGAGCTGGTCCAAATGAAGAGGCTGCATCTGTCCCACAACTGCAGAGGGGCCACTGCTAACCCCCAGGTGACCAGTGGGATTAGTGCTGGCTTGTCGGTGACGTCCAGGTGATTCCTACCACCTTGACTGTTCCCTGCCATCACTTCTAAAACCAGTCATTGCCAAAACAAATTCACTGCCTGGATCTTAACTCAGGAGAGCTAGCCTTATGGAATGGGATGGATACTGTACATCTTAACTTCATGGACTGGAGCTACAGGTGCTTGTTACAAAGTTACTTAAAAAGAGAAAAAAAGTATAGACACAACAGCCATATACTATTTACAAAGTATCCTCCTTGTGACAAACAGCATCCTCTCTAATGGCAAGCTGAAAGCTTTCTTGAGGAGGCAGAGCAGAACACTGTCAATGGTCTGCAATTCCCCAGCCTGGTGATGCCAACAATCTACAAAATAAATTTACTGGGCTTAAAATACTTTAAAATAACTAATTTTACAATTTAAATAAATTGCTATCCTATGCCAACAGGAAGAGTTAAGCTTTCCTGTGCAAGTCCATCAGAAGAAGAACTTGTCAGTATTATCTTTAAAGAGCTGCACTGAACCAGGCCTGTGGGAGGGCAGAAGCCACAGGGATTGCGCTGCAGGCGCTGAGATCTACACTTGCAAATCTGAATACAAAATGACAGTGTAATCAACAGCAGCAAGTCCTGCTTCTTCTGCAGCATCCCGGCTAGAAAATGAGACTCTCAGAGAACAAAAATAACAATAAATATCCCACTTTCTGTGTCTGATAGAGTTCAAAACCTAGGCTAAAGGGCTAAGCACTACAGAAGTAAGCCTGCCCCCAGTACTCCTTGCCATGTAATGTGGGGACAGAAGGGACAATGCCCAGGAAGACTGTCAGTTTTAACTCTATTCCTCTGCTCTGCGACTAATGTGAATCACGCTAGATGGCTCCTGTGCCTTGGTTTTTCATGGCTAAGAACATCCATCCTTTCCAAGCAATGGGAACTGGGCATATTTAACCTGTGGTATCTAGTCATCCCTTAATAGGTATTAGAAAGAGAGGGTAAGAACACAGGTTCTGAAGTTAGAATCCAGATTGGAAGTTTGCCTTGGCTACAAGTTAAATAGTTTTTAGTACTTAACCTTGCACTGCTTGCACTGTTTTCGCAGTCTTCTATCAGTAACATGGAAATAATGTCACCATCTCTGTAGTGTGCTGTGATCACTAACTGGTACTGGTACATCAAGTGCCCACCTGTGCTGAACAGCAAGAGCCCTTACAAAGAGGCTTTGTAAATCGAGGACCCAGCGGTCAGCCCCTGCTGGATGTGGGCACTGCGAGAATACCAGTGACAGTTTCTGGATACAGAAAGCCAGTAACAAGGTAGACGTGACCATCTCACCATTGCGTTTTTCTTGGCTGCTTGCCTTTTTAATCGTCTTCCTTCTCGGCGACTGTCTTTCTTTAAAGCAACCGCGATTTCTTCCCTCATTTCGGGGCTGTCTGTGGCTATCACCTCCCCGCTGGGAGCCATCTGTGAGTTCTGTCTCAGGTATTCCATGAACCCGTTCACATCTTCATTTAAGTACTCTTTTTTCTTTTTGTTCTTTTTATGTTTTGCTTGGGGTGTATCATTTTTAAGGGGCGGCCTACCGGCTCCGGACTGGTGACGCTTTGGCAGGTCTGAGCTCCTCCCCTGCGGGGACCCCTCTTTCATGTCCTCCCACGACGTGGCAGGCAGGGGTCTTTTGCTACGCGTGGTGGTGACTCGTGCCCACCGGGTCATGGCTTCTCCAGAGGAGCCTGCTCAGTCTCTAAAACAAGCGAGGCTGTAGTTTCTCCGCACTCACCGAGTAACAACTTATCATCCACGGCACATCCCTGTATCAAGCAAACTCGAGTTAAAAGTTGTAACTATTTAAACACTTTTCACTTCACTGAGGTCTCTACAGACATGCTAATCCTAGGACGCGCAGCACAGCTCCGCCCCTAACATGAATCAGGTGCGCTCGGAGAAGCGACGCCCGTCAGAGAGACGGGGAAATGATCTATGACCTTACGGAAGTTTACTACAAAGAAGGACACAATGCCATGAACCCCTCCGATCGCTCCCCACCGTTCCCGGCAAGGCGCCGTCCGCTGCAGTAAGAGTCCTCAAATGTGAACATCCGCCCGGTGGACACATTTTAAAGAAGTGATCTATTCCAAGGGGCCTGAGCGGATGCATCTTTGCAAAAGAGGAGGGGACCGGGCGATGAATGAGGGAATGGGGAGATAAAGAAGCAGTGAGACGCGCCGCGCGCCGGCGCCAGCTCCCTACGACGCGGGTCAGCACCGTGCACCGTGGATGGGCACCAACGCCGATGGGCACCAACGCCGAGTTCAAACCACCAGATGTCACACAGACTGAACAGTGTTTTGGTTCCTTTCCACGCGGACCTACCCAGCATCTAGGGACTTTTTTTTTTTCTGTACCTTAACCAAAAGTCAACTCCCCAGCGCCCCCGTGCGGACGGCGCTGACCCTGCGAGGGCCAGGGACACACGAAAGAAATTGTCACTGCCCGGCCCACTAGACTGGCCAGGCTCTGGCGCGCTGAGGGCCGTGGGGACTCCCTAGCCGGTCCCGCATTAGTCCACCCAGCGCCGAGCACACCAAACGGGCCGGGAACCCCATAACGCCGCGCGCAGAGGCGCTTCTTACCACGCACGATCCTCCCGAGCAGCTGAGTCGGCTGGCTAGAGAAGCCCCGTCGATGAGACCGGAAGCACCGCCTCCCTGAGTGTCGTCACTTCCGACGGAAGCCGCAATGAAGGGGCCAGGCGCTTGGACTGCCTTCAGGTTCTTCTCTTGGCGAGTGCTGTAGGCTGTGTAAAAGTTTACAGATCGCCCAGGTTTTCAAGGAAAGTGCCCTGGACGCCGAGGACACGGGGCTGAAGAGCGCCCGATCAGTGCTTTGACTGCAGCTTAGTGAAAGAGACAGATGGGAAGCGGGTGGCTGGACTTTGGAGAACACGACAAAAGTCTGGAGAACTTGGTGGGAGGGCATGCCTAGCAGAAAGAGTGGAGCTGATAAGCGCAGTGGTCGGGGAAAGTTTGGGATCTCTTACGGGAGCACCTCAAGGTCCTCCCCCAATGCTACTATTCAGCTAAAGTAATGTACTTAGCCTTTGTCTCTCAACAACTCCTTGTATCACACCAGCCGCTGCGTTAGTGCGAAAATAGAATCATCACATCCTCTCCGTTCCCCAGTTCACTACTGTATCCTGTCATCACCCTCGATCCATTTCACTTCCTACATAATTGCCAGCTTTCTATTTCTGCTTCCACCTTTCTCTTAGCACACATTATGAGGCCCCCGCATTGCTGCAGCTGGTGTGGGCATCCGTTCTTGCCCAACTCCCTCGAATTCATTTTCCGTGCCTTTTCCAAGTGAACACTGGGAGATATAAAACAGACTGTTAAATATGATTGTTTAAACCTTTTCATTGTTTCTCGTTCTTTGGATGTTCAGACTCTACCATGGTCCTTAACTAGCCTCACCTAATACAGTCTCACCTTTTGAGCCTTGTGCATAGGAACTATCCTTCAGTTTTCCTAGCCATGCCTTTACATATATTATTTTCTTTGTACGATACCCTTTTTCTTCTGATTAGTTTTTTGTCTTTCAAAGCTTTTAAGATTTTTCTCAGGTAAGCCTTCCAAAACCCTATCCCACGCTAGACCAATCCCTTATCAGTAGAACCTATTGTACATCTATGGCAGTTTGTACTTACTGTTGGTACCTTTCAAATCTGCGTGTAATTCTTGTTTAGTAAATTTTTTATTTTATCCCCATTTCCTGGTGTATAATTGTTGCTCAGTGCCATGTTGTGTTTGTTAATTGGGTGAAGAATGGTTACTTGGCATTTTGTTTAATGCAGAGTAAAAAGTGTCCCAGTTTTAAGATAGATTAAAATTATGTAAGAATATTGGGATTTTGTGTGGCAAGTGTCACAACTGTCCTAGGAGAAAACAGTCATCCAGCCCTTGAAAATGATGAGCTTTATAAAAGAATGTGATAGTGCTTTTCATGTCAAGGATCTCAACCAGCTGGCTTCTGGTTTTAAACACTTACGTCACCACTAGAGGGCACATGTACCTAAAACTTGTCCTGTAGGTTTTATGCAAAATGTTAAGACTAGACTATTCCTTTATGGAAGTGAAAGGACATCTCAGTTGTTTCTGTGGAAGTGTATCAAATAAAGATTTGTAATTGAATAAGATCATACAATAAATCCTTTGGAATTCAGGAGAAAATAGTATTAATAGTAACTGATTATACTATTTTATAGATGCTTAGCACTATGCTTAATGCTTTACGTTCATTACCTAACTACGCAGTATCCTCTGAGGTTGGTGCTATTATTTTCTTCATTTTTACAATGAGGAAATGAGCTCAGGGAGCTTAGGTAACTTAGGTATGGGTACACAGATGCTAAGAGAGAAAGCCAAGGTTTAAACTGAAATCTCGCCCCACATCCTGCTTTATAATCTTGCAGAAGATTGTCTGCTTGAACCCACACCGAAATACACTTTACCCAGTTGCCCTTCTCCATGTAGTTTTGTTTGTTTGGTTGGTTGGTTCTGGTAGGGAGGTTTCACATTTAGTTTAAGAGATCTTTTAATTTTACCTTTTACTTATTGAAACATTATAAATGTATTACTTTAATAATAAAATATAGAAGACCACCAGATGGTTCTTCTTGAATATAGAGTAATTACCTCCCCCTCCACTTTAGCTAACCGGGCCCTATATCCATGTACTAATATGTACAGGGCTGGCTAAGCTATTTTCTTTTCCCTTCAATTGGCTCTAAGCAATGTAAATAGGGCTGGCTGAGATACCTAATCTGTGAAGCCGAATGACAGTCACTGTTTCCCTGCCTCAGTGACTCCCTAAATGGTTGGGCCCAATGGGGTACAGAGCCAGCGCTCCAGGGCTCTCAACTGGGTTCAAGCCTAGAGATAAAAGGCTATGGCCCTCAAAGCAGAAAAGGTTTGCATATCTGAGCTGAAACACAAGCCTTCTAAATGTTAAGTGCAGATTGTGTTACACAGATTTGTTTTTCTGCATTTCCTTTTCTCTGCATGCTTCAGAGGTGCTTTCTGGCCTCCTAGAAGCCAGGCTCATAGCACTCGCATAACTCCTGCCATTCTCATAGTCATTCATCCTCTAGCCACTCATTTCTTCACGAATAAAATCTGGGTTGGGCCCTGGGTCGAGGCCTTTGTTCCTTGAACCTTCATCATGGCTGAACTCAGGACCCCTTCACCCCCATAATTATAAATGTGTGTTCTTGCCGTGGGTTGCACTGAAAGTGGTAGATTGGAATTAACTTTCTAGAATTCCAATAATGTTTCCGTGGGATTACCAATATAAACTTTCCGGACCACGATGAGAACAAGAAAATGCTCTCTAATAAAACATAAAGCAGATGTTAGGAACCAAGGTATTGATTATGACATGTTAGTACTTCATTTTTTTAAAAAATTGGAGTTAGTCACAGTGGTAGAGCACTTGCCTAGCAAACATAAGGTCCTGGATTTAGTTCTCAGTACCAAAAGATTTAAAAGAAAATTATATAGTATATCATGTATATAGATGTTCCTCATTTAATAACTTAGCCAGTTCCTGTAACTAGGTAATTAATGAATTGGTTGCTAAATGAGGAAGTATATATACTATGTGCATCACAATATTCAGAACAAAGAAATGGTTAAAGGAAACTAACTTGATGACTTTCTTTAATTTGCATGAGTTTACATGCTATACTGTAATGTGTAACAGAAGAGAAAACTGTTGTACTGTACTGTACAATCAGTAAAAAAAAAAAAAAACAATACTGAAGAAGAAGCCAGTGTAAGACTTCACTGTCATTAAATTCCAGCATCATAAGTCTGAGCAGCAGATCATAAACAGGTAAGTCATTAAATGAAAAGTATCTGTATGGAAGAGCATAAGAACATACAGCATAACTATGTAATACCTTTCTCATCATCAGGGTGGGACACAATGTCTAACACCTACAATTTAAAGGAGAGGCTCATCTGGCTCAAGGTTTCAGGGGACCCAGTCTATGGTCAGCGGGCTCTAAGTTAGGAAAATCAATGCAGAAAGCTTGATGGAGCAAAGCAAGTAAATACCAAATCACAGCATTGGTAAGTTGTCCAGTGTGAAGAAAGGCCAGAGACCGATCTTCAATGGCTCTGCAGTACGTGACAGTGGCACTCTGCTAGGGTTAGGAAACCATACACTAGAGGTGGATTCGCCCAGGGGAGATCGTCTTTAGGTCACACTTATACTTCATCCAGGTTATTCTGTCCAGATTATCATGAAGAGATTTGAGAAAAGAAAAGTAAAACATCAATCTCAAATGTTTAATACTAACTCCTCAAATATTCTGTTATTTTTCAATTTGTTTCCTCTCATTTTTTCATTTACTATTCCCAGACTTCTTGATCTTCTTTAGACATTTTAAATATTCCACTCTAATTGTGCGGTTTTTATTTTCTGCTATTTTATTATTGTTTTTGTATCTCAGGACGGCTTTTTAAGTGATTGGTTTAGGACAGTGGTGGCAAACTTATGGCATGCGTGCTGCAGCAGACTGTATCATTAAAAGTCCAAAAGGATCTTCATCCCTGGTGTAGGAATTTCAGTACAACTATGTTTGATGCTTTCACAATCTACTTGAAATCAACCTTCTACCACTACAAATCCAGGGTAGAAACCTACATCATATAGATCCTTTGCCCCTTTTATGTTGTAGTTGTGTGTTACATGTACTTATATTGAAAAATCAACAGAAACTTTTTGCTTTCATACATTAAACAGTTTGAAAACAACTTTGTGGACAAAGAATAGCCTGTTATGCTTTTTTATCCAAATGGTTTTCCGCTTCTGTAATCTTGGTTCTTGATTACCCATATTGTCTTCTAATATTATTTACCTTCTGTCTAAAGACTTTCTTCTAGAAATTCTTTGAAAGCAGGTCGTCTGCCAACACACTCCCATACTAGTTTTCCTGCACCTGAAATCTCTGAAGGTCACTATCACCAAAGGCTTTAAGGCAGCTGCTATAGCAAGAGTAATCTGGAATGAGGTAGTGGGTTTGGAAAGGAAGGCCAGGACCAGATTTTACCAAAGTGTTTGAATTTTACCTGTTAGAGCTTAATGGTTGTATATGAGAAATGTACCTAATACAGTGTTTGAAAGGCTTGTTGACCCAGACCGGACACTGTAGCCAGAAAAGCCTCAGCCCGAATTAGGGAGCTTCTGCCTCCCCGCCCCTAGAGATTTACCTGTAACCCTATACCCCCCACCCTTTGGAACCTGCCCCTGGCACCAAACATGTGCCAATGAAATACCTGTGCATCTCTAATGGCTTTAGGGCACTGCCCTAAGCTTAGGCTACTTATATTCCCCCACACCACGCGTCTGCATGAGAGAGATCGCCAGATTCCAGCGGCCAGCACGCCAGTCCTCTCTCCCCGTGTTCCCGGAATAAAGGCCTCTTTTGTTTTATACTCCTCATCTTTTGGAAATATTTTTCATCTTCTGGAAATAATCCTATCATTTGGTGCCGTGTGACTCCATCCGCAGGCGA